CAGGGGAGCCCACCAGGAAGTATCCTGGTGGGTGCCCCCAGCAGACCGGCGCCCCAGGCGAATGCCTAGTTCGCTTAACGGTGGCGCCAGCCCTGTGGTAGATCCCCTGCTGGCAAAGCATCACGGGAATTGTACAGCAGTTAAAGATCTACGTTTTGGCCAACCTTGCGCCTTAGGGAGGAACAAAAAAATTCCAGCACCAGGGCCCTCTTTACATTAGTTCCAACAATGCTCACTGCCTTTGATAATGTTTACTTTTGTAGCACTACCTTTCCCAGTGCAGTGGAGACCCTTTTTGACATTGGGATTGGTCTAATGAGGATGGTGTAAAGTATACATTTAAAAAACACACAGTTTAAGAATGGGTCATTAAGCTAATTTTATATTCGAAGATTGGGTCAATAAGCTAATCCCTTCTACATAATTTGAGTCTCTGTAGAAAGAGGTTACAAAGTACTGTACTAATCAGCTTCCCTAGACAGAATTAGTAGTCTGGTATAAACTTAAGATTCAACGTGCATGGTGTAAAACGACTGCAGCTTATTCAATGTATTTGCTGTTTTTAATAATTTCTATGTGTGTTTTTCTTTTTGTTCTGCTATTTGAAGGTCTTTTGACACTTTCTATTTCATTTATTTTCTTTGTCTGTGCTATTATAACCTCCGACCAGTAGGGTACGCGTCATTGTTTTTAATATGGGTTTGGACATAATTGGAAAGCATGATGCGTTCCAAGCGATGTTTTGCGCATGTGCGTTACACATATCGCGCTATTACTCTAATTTCATGTATTGGAACGCACAGTGCATTCCATACCTCATCATTCACCGTTGCGAGTGGCTATATGTTTCCTGAACGATCGGAATAGGTGAGTGTGTGCTATATTTAGCCGTTAGCGGGGTTCTGAATATGGATCAGATTTAATGATCCAAGTACAACTTTTGATGTAGCGGCAAGAGTCTGGGCATATTGTGAGCTTTAATATGCCTCGGATTGGTTCGACAGTATGTGATTATTATTTGCTTTATTTCTTCTCTCTGTGAGACATTACTTCTTACACAGATCATGTTATGTTTCATTTTACTTGTAGATATATTTCCTTTCATTGATAGATTCTTCCTGTTTCTTTTGCTACTGATCATTATATATATGTAAGTTTTTTTCAGATCGATTTATTTGTGTTTTCTTTGGTTTCCTTGGCAGCCATAATCAAGTGATTATGGTTCGGAGGATCCAAATCAATATGGGTGGCCACCCATCACATTCAGGTGTTTCTTATGGTTCTTATTTGGGTATATAAGGGTGAGTCTCACTCTTTTACAACAGGCTCCCTGGATAAAGGCATCTCTTTTGCCGAAACGTTGGGGGCTTGCTGATTGACTTTTCTTCCCTCTTCTCACTAGTTCTGGTATGCATTTGTTTTTCTATATATTTTTGTAATGGGTTGTTAGGATTTGATATCTCTATCAATTATTAATTACATTGATATTTCAGTATTTTTTTTACTATACATCCTGCTTGTATACTATCAGAGAACTTCTGATAATTTTCTGTATATTATCAGCATGTGAGTCATGGTTTGATCTGTTCTGATATACATTGTGAGATATCTATCGTTTTTGTACCTATCTAATAATATTTTTTTTCTTCATATTAATGGTTATGCTCCTTGACCGGATATTATTTGAATAATTTCTATGCCATAGGTTAGCCTTGGCATTCTTACATTAATATTTGTTTGTTTGGGACCTTGAGTGTACATAATATATTTTTTTTTATCCTCCACTTTAAGTGGTTGTAGACTATTAGGGCTGTGCCATAACAGACTTCAGACCTTTACTGGACAAATTAAAATAGATAGACTTATAAAAACTTTTGAAAACTGACTTAAAGATAGAACATAGAGCGCTGATGTTAATGAAGCATTATCTAGCTGAACAGTGCAATGTGGAGTACTCCAGAGTCCTGAATTGTTTCTAATTCTCTTAAATGTATTAATCAATGCTGCAGCAACTGAAGCTATAGTTCCATGTTCTGTGTTGGGAAGGATGTTGCTCTATGGAGTCAAATGACAAATAAGAATTAATGTATCTGGGTAACATTATGTACTTGGGGAGGATATGTTGAGGGTTATGAAAAGGGTTATTGTATATAACTGAAACTTATAAATCAATGAGGAAAACCCCCACCTTGACCATACAGTGCAAAATCAGCCTCCAATCTTCAGTAAAAAGACATTAGAGACAAAAATTGAAAAACATGCAACAAAATTGCCATGGGTGAAATAAGATTTTAGTTATGAAAAAAATAGAACACTACAAAAATAAATACAATTTTATAAAGAAACGTATCCATGTTTTTCAGGTTATTAAAGGGCACTATCACTATTATATTTGACAAATTCCTTATAATTAACAAATATGCGTCAAATATAGATCTTGAATTGGTACAATAATTTTCACTTCTTGTCTTTGTGTTTGTCATAACTCTGCCATTTTTGCCATAATGTAATGTGTATGTACCCTAATTATGCTATAACTAAACCATTTGACTCTTACCTGGAGGATGGTACGCAAGAACTTCTGGAGCTTATGCTTGCCCCTTTAAATCCACCGAAACCTATATAGCATGGGTATATTACTTTACCCCTTGTGCCCCTTTTAATGTGGTGACTTTTTTTTTGCAGAGGTTTACTGTCATTACATTGTTGCCCTTTTTAATGGTGACTTTTTATTTTTGCCTTAAGTCGAGATTTTTGAAGTGAATCGCTGCTATTTGCATCCAAGAATAATTTTTCCCTTTTTGAGGCACAACAGTCGACTTTTTTTTTTTGCTTCCGTCAGGATCAAAAGCAAAAACAGGAATGCGTGAAAGGTTTACTTGATGGACTTGAGCCTTTTTTCAGTCTAGGTTACTGTGTTATTATGATGTTAAATATCAGTCATCACAAGGTTTTAATTTCATCTTGAAGCTTCAGAGGGGAGACACTGTCACCTTGTGGTCAATCAGAAGAATGCAGATATGTACACAAAGTTTAAATTTTACATTTTTTGTCAAGGTAAGTGTGAGTACAATGTCTAATGAATCATTCTCAATTTGACTTATCATCTAAATATACTGTAGTTTTGCCCTGGGTGTTCTAATACATCACTAATATTTGTGTGTGTGTGTGTGTGTGTGTGCGTGTGTGTGTGTGTGTTTTTGCTACTGCAGGAACATCAGTTTTTATGTATGTCTTTGTTTGGCAGACTTCAACTGTAGGTGGTGCTATAATATGTGTATGTGGTTAGAAAGATGCCCAATCTAGCCCTGTCTGTCTGGTTAACTCTGTCTCTAAACTTCACTCTGTGATAGTTTCTTGTGTTACTTTTATGTCTAATTTAATACATGTTTCTTATTGCCAAAGTGGTTACATTTTGGAGATATTGGTTGACGAACTCACTAATTACTCCTATATATACTCACTGGTCCAGTAATAAGGCACTTTTTGAGGTTTTTGCTGTGTAGTAGTGTATGCACAGTTTGGGGTTTTGGCACAGTTTGAGGTTTTTCTTATACTGACTTCCAAAATCACTGACTCTCCAGGGCTATTTACAGTTCTGTATCTCCAGTGTCTTACTAAAACTTTTCTCTGGACATGCTATTTCTATTTTCTTAACCTATGTGGAGACCTTGACATTAAGCACACCAGCATTTTTCATGGTGGAAATATTTAATTCATTGGCCTTGTTTCAGGTGGTTTTGGTTTTGTGGTGTTCTGCTTTAGACAGATTTATTTTGTAAATTTTTGGGAAATTTTGTTGGACAAACCAAAATAATATACAAATTGGACAATCAGTGAACTGCAAAATATACATTTTATGTATATATTTTGCTGGACACTGATAGGACCGTCTTCACACCATTTAGTTCACAGATAAAGGGAGCAGAAGTAGCCAATTGAGGGAAAAAAACGATGAGTAGAAAAAAAAAAAATTACAGGGGGTCCACCGGGCAGCGATCACAGTCTCAAATGGAGCCAGAAGCTTCTGCAAGGAACTTAGAATATCTCTAATGTGCTAAGCCTATTGACCGAGAGCATCAGTGCAGAGAAATTTTGGCTGCACAACAGTAGGTGGGACAAACCCCAGGTAAGTTATTAAACCAACTGCTAATGATTTGAATTTATACTCTGGAAGGGAACCAGAGCATTCCTGGTATTATAACCAATACAGCCGGGTGTAGTGGTTATGGTGCTTGGAGTGTTCCTCTAAGGAACCAGGAAGCTCTTTACTGCTTTAACATGTGCAACCATAATAAGCTGTGGGTTCTTATGGCACATGCAGTATTTATTTATCTGCCCAGTCAGTGCACCTATGTTATTGCCAAGAACATTGCCACGACAAAGGCACTGAATCGTAGAGATTATGGAAGGTTCTAAATTTATCAAAAACAACAAACAAAAGAATAAATGTGTACATTGTGCTACAAAGTAGAATGTACTCTGTGATGGAATTATAACTCACAGAGATATAATTTACTCATTGATGACTGAATCATATTGCAAATCTAGATAAAGGATAATTACATTACATAATAAATGTTACATAAGTAAATACATTCCTGGAAGTATATAAACAGTAAAATTACACAAAAAATAACTTCAAAAAGAGAATTGCAGAGATCAAAGTATATATAAATAGTTCTATAAGCAGTAGTCAAACTGCATGAGAAGGGTTGCTATGTCTGCCACTTCTTTCTCATTACTGCACTTTAACTGCCTTCTTCTACAACATCTGCTTCAAAAGCAATTCATTCAAATCTGGGATGTGCATTACTTTTCCAGATATTTGTTTTTCACATTTTTCACTATATAAATGCTTTTAAAATGAAGGATGTAGCTTTTCACCCACAACACAGCTGTATGCCCTCTTGTCCTGTGACTTAGTGACGTTCACACTGTGCTTCTAAAAGTCTAATTATTGCCTAATCTGTAGGACATGATCTAACAGCTTCCTCTTTCTGTGATCATTTTTTGTGGAATCGCATAGCAAAAGGAATTGAGTCTTCTACTTCATTTACCCTTCACAAAAGATGGACACCTACCTGCTCATTATCCTGTACCTCTCATGTGTCCTAGGTAAGAACCTGCTTTCTATCTAGGATCTCAAAGATTTAGACAGTATGCACGAGTTTAGGCAAATAGTGGGACTATTAGTGCCAAAGGGAAGTAAAGGATACATCGTAACTCATAAAGGGGATCTTTCTAACTCAAGATAAAAGGACTGGTTCTTAGGGATAGGCATGTACAAGAAGTATGCTCGGTGTGCCTGGGAACAACTTTTTGGAGGCTTTAAATGCCCCCATTTAAAGTCTCACCTGATCCTATGTGCCAAACTGAAAAAAATCCTTAGTTTGACAAAGATAAAGATTGCCATCTTTCTAAAACCGTGGTTTTCACTAGATCAATTTATTTCTTAAAAACCTTTTAAATAACATTAAACGTGTTCAGTTGGTAATATTTAAAAAGTAGTTTAGGTAAGTTTTAGCTTATTTGAGGAATAAAAAAGAATAGAATATGACCCTTATGATAGTTGGGTATTCAATAGACCATATTTTTACTAAAATAAATCTCAGATGCACATCATCTTATTTCTTCTTGTGGGTAGCAAGTGGATATTTTGAGACTTATCATCTTGACTAGATAGTTTATATGCAAATGCTTTTATGTATAATACCATGGTACATTTCCTAATAGTGTATAAACAATTTATTTTTGATGTTTAAAGCAATTGTGCTGTTTATATTTGATGTGTTTTGTTGTTTTTTCCTGCTGTGCATGGCTTATCATGAAAAACATAGGTAAGATATTTTAGGTGATTCTCTAATAGATGCATGTTACATACTTGCTTTTCAGGTGCCTGGAATTACTGGAACTGAGTCTATCCTGCTTTTTTGATAATTATTTTATAGTTTCTTTGTTTATTTAAATCACTTTCTTATTACTTTTTTATTTCAAAATGTCACCTGCATTGTCTAAAACATATTTGTGTGCTCCTCAGGTATGTCTTTTGCAAGCAATCTTACTGTATTATCCGGTCACCTTGGGGACACCTTCAGTATTGGCTGCCCCTACAGTGACCGCCGTGACCGCTGGAGAAAAAAGCTATGGTGTAAGGAAGATAAATTTGGACAGTGCCAGGATGTTGTTGTTACGCACAGCATCTGGCCACCTTATGAAAAAAATGGAAATAACTTCACTAATATCTTAGACAATACACGTGCTGGCATTGTCACGGTGAACATAACACTGGTGCAGAAGGAAGATGAGGGCATCTACCAATGCCAGACTCGATCTTTCACTGAAACAAAAGTTCGTGTATTACAGAGGGTTCTGGTGAAGGTCTTGGAAGATCCCAAATCAAGTATTTCTGATTTGATAGATTATAGCACCTCTAGGTAAGCTAAATGATACAGAAATGTTTAATTATACATGTGTTTTATATTGTGCGTCATCCAATTCTGTGTCACCTACATGGGACCTTTTATGTCTAAGACACTCTATATTTAGTAACACAATGTGTGTGTTGAGTTTGTTTTGTAAGCAAATATGGATGTGACTCTTATTACATATGGTTAATGTTTAATAGGATTCCTGTGGGATCACAGGTTGCAATGACGTGGGCCATTATAGGGAGCGGTCTCCTGATGTTTAAACTGTTGGTAATGGGACTGATGTGGTATTGGTGGAGAAGCCAACAAAACCTGAGGTGAGTAAAGGGATTTAAATGTGGTAATGGGGAAAGGATGTGATGCAATATCCCCTGTGTAGGAGTTAGCTGCAAATTTGTATTTGGGAGCGCAACACAAAAACAGAAGTCAAGGACTATAAAAGTTTGATATGTGTTGCAACATATACTCTATAAACATAGATTTAAATTTCTGAATGTATATCTTGTTTTCTGTCAACATTCCCTACATGCTCGCAGGGGGCAAATTTAATAGCACAGATATCTGCAGTTTAGAACGGTTGGTATAAACTGGCTTTATGCATCACTAGATACCGCTCTGCACATGGGAACTCAATGCATGCAGCTCATTGGCAGAGCACTTCCGATTCTCTCTGTGTGTGGGAAGACCTTTGTGTGGTTAGCCAAGGAAGCTGTCAATCAACTTGGCATGGCCCTATTACAGGTGGCAAATCAGTAGCCCACCCCTTTTGACCTGCCACCCACATACAAAATTTGTAACTTAAAATATTGGAAGGTATGGCCTTGATCATGAACAAGCATGTGCCTTTTGGACTGCTGTTGAAGATTTGTGTAGTTCACATTTGAAATATCTACCATATCTTTTAGGACAAGAACATATTTTTCTATTTCAGTTGGATAAATATTCTTGTAACTTGCATTGTGCTGTTGTGAATCATGGGTCTAGGATGTTTCTACACCCTAAGCACAAATGTATTTTCCTTCCTGTTTGTTGTGTTGCAGATAGTGGATAATGTGAAATCACGTCATATCCCACAGCTCAAAATTTCCACAAGTCATTAGTGAATGAAAAATCCAGTCCCGAACAGTGTTCATGGATTCACCATTGCTCTTAATGTTGTTTAAAAAGCAGCATCTTCTTATAACAGTGACCACTAAGATTTTAGGGGAAAGAGCTCACAATCAATTTAACCTTGAGTGTGACTATCATAGTATTGTGTATCCCCTGTTTTCTGATGTTTCTCAAGTGTCCAACAGTATTCTTGTCTTCATGTATCTATCCTTGTTTCCTCTCAGAGTGGGACCTGAATCACCACTAACATCTGCAATTGAAGAATCAGTTCCTGATGAAGAAATGAATGTGTATGTTTTTGATGAGGAACGCTATGTATATGCAGCCGAGGTACTCAGTATTACCCCTCTGTACACCAACTATGCGCCCATGAAAGAACATCTCAACAAGGCTTATTGTCAGAGATAACATCCAGTGTGGTATCAAGCCAAGATATTACAGACAATTGGAAAGAATTCAATGATGTTAAAAAATCAGCCGTTATTGACCAATTAATTGTTGTACGTTATATCTACCTGCATGGAATTTATCTGCATGGAATTTATCTGAACAGTTGTATTAATCATGTGATGTAGATACAAAACAATAGAGTATCATGCAATATATTTTTGGGGGGCTAAATGAGCATTTTGTTAGGATATTTCTGTTATAAAACTGTGCTATTGGACTATTTTGCATTTTAACATGCATCAGTACAGGATACTGTCCATTAGAGACAGAGAGGACTAGCATTATTAAATAGTACAGGTTCCTATTATTATTTAATAGTACATAATTGTTAACTGATACATGTATGATAAGCATTAACCAAATCAATGGTACCCATGTTATCAACCTTGTAGAGATGACAAGTTGAGTTTTCCCTCATGGCAATTAGAAGTATATGAACAAATATGAACAAATACTAAATTAAAACTATAACCTTGAAGTCTCAATAAGTACAGCAGTCAATTACTTAATAAAGTGACAATTGTGGAAAACTGGCAATGGAATTTTAAATTGTAGCCTAAAATAGCATTCAACATCTCAGTGATTTCTGACTATATTGGCCCAAAAGTTTAAACGTTCATGTCATTTCTTCACAATTCCTAGCGACACGATATAAAAACAAACTAACTGAATATATCTCCTTAAACAAAGTATTACAAAATAAGGGGCTATTATACGGGTACCTGTGCAAACATGGTATCTGAGAATAAGCACATATGTTATGAAATATTTCACTTGCTGCTAAATGGGTGTCTGGTTGCTCAGAAACCATCTCCTTAATTTCCAGTGAGATTTCACTGAAAATATGCAAATAGCCAGCTGACCACTATTATGCAATGTGGTCTCTGTCTCTCACAAGCCCTTCCTTGGTAACAACTATTGGGGTTACCACTGTCTAACCACATTCTCTTCAGTTCCCTTCTCTTCAGAATTATCTATCTTCTACTGGATTGGCACATTTTTCCCCTTAGCAGTAACTTTATCTTTGCTTATATCTCTGCTTCCTGCAATATCCTGAATACTTTCTACTGATTCCATTCCAAAATAAAGAATTAAAAAACTTTTGTTGGATTTTTCTTCAATTTTATTATAATATTTAAGTCAGTTCCATGTGTTGTACACTAGTTCAGGGTTACAAACAAATCAACATATGGGAAACATTAACTAAAATATAACATAATTTATTCATAATTCAATACCCCACTACTACAGAAGGATTTAGGTGTGTGTGTGTGTGCGTGCTTGCGCGCCCGCACCTGGGAGTACAATAATTCTTCTAAGACTTGAAGTCTCAGATCTCATTGGTCCCTATTTCTCTCTCTTTTTCTCACCCTATGAGAGATGTGAAAACAGTTTAGAGATGGAGAATGAAGAGCAAAAAGGACACACAATTGTGTTTGTGAACTTAATTTGTCTTTGAGATGTAAAATGCATTATTATTTCCAGAGCATTTTGGCTGAAGTTTATGTTTCTAATATTCTTAATGTCTCTCATGCATTGATTTACATAAATGTAAACATAGGTACTAGAATAAACAGGAACTTAGACAGTGAAACGTTACATGTGCTACTTACTCCCTTTCTCCACTTCATTCCATGCTATGTATGTAATTAGATCATGTAATTTCATGACACTTGATAATAAACTGCAACAATATGTAATGTGGTAGGAGAACATACAAAAAAATAATAATTCTGTAACCACAACAAATATATAAACTTTTCAAATTGTTACAGAGAAGCTCAATGCAGAGAACAGTTTCGCTAAATACCTACCACATTCCTTATATGATAAATCTTAGCCACCCACAATATTCCTAATTCCTTCTAACCCCTAAAGTGTTCAGGAAAGGAATGCATCCCGTACTTAAAATGCTTAAAGTGGCATGTAACTTTTAAGGACTGGCTAGTAGCGTAGGATTTGAAATTTTTTAACTTTTCTAAGGAAAACTGTCATAATTTGTATTACTATTTCAAATAATAGTTTACATGTAATATAGCCTCTGTGAATTATTTTGTTTACATGTAATATACCCTCTGTTTATTGTTTTGTAATGTATACATATACATTTATACATTACAAAATAATACACAGAAGCTATATTACATGTAAACTATAATTCTTGCATCTACAGATTTACCCTTGTTCTATACATGGGATTGGGTGTAATGGATCCAGGACTGGGGGAGGGTGGACCACAGCGTGGTGGCAACAAGAAAGTGGTGGACTGTCAAAAAAGTAACCCTCTAAAACTGTCTATAAACATCAGAAGTGCTCTGCCCATGCAGTGAATGTCCACATAGATCTCTCTGCTGAACAAGTCTAATGATATACACATGTGTTTGCGGTAGACAAATGCAAACATGGGATCCAGGATTGTTGGGACACATGCTATTCTTTGTGTACAGTCATCTTTAAGTCCTCTTTTGGTCAAAGCATGACATATTCAACCAACAACCACACAAGACCAGCAGCTAGTGCTTATTCACAAATAGTATTAAATGTAGGTGCTGAGTATCTCACAAATGTGCTCTGAGCTGGTTTCAGGCATTCAAATGTACATGATCTTGGCAGATAAGCATTACTTCCAACCAAATAGGATTTCAAGATGGCTGCTCCCACAAAGCAAGTATAAGCCAGGATATGCTATGAAAAACAGTATTTACTTGCATGTATTCATTGCAAAATAATATTCACAAGTGGTTATAACCTATGTTTAGATGTACCTATATATGTTCCTTGAAAGCTAGATAGTTGTATTATAGCTCCCCACCCCATTAGGAGCCAGCAACAAGCTGTTAACCTGCTAGTGTTAGCGTAATAAGCGAATGTCCACCAGGGTCAGGGAGGAGAGTATAGGTTTTACATGTTTTCACTAGTTTTCCCACTATAAAGTAGGAGCTATTGCGCTGGTAACTATATCCTTCACCACTTGCTCTGTCCTCGAAATCAAAGACAGGAGACAGGTCTGTAAATTTGTGACAATATGATAGAGCTTGTCAAATATATGTGTTTAATTTTATTAAAACAGATAATATACATAGATAAAAATTAAAATGAAATAAGCATGACAGAGGACAATGCATTATGGGAAAATAATGCCATATCAGGGATATGGACAGATCAATGATTGTTTGGACTCACATATGCCTCACATCATGTCAAATGGACAAAGTGGAACACTTTTAGGGTTGTGAGTGGGGAGAAAGTTTAGGTGACTTACTAATAACAATTAATGTAACTAAAATGTAATTTAGAACAAGAATAGAGATGAGCGAACCCGAACTATAAAGTTCGGGTTCGTACCGAACATTATGATTTTTGGACCCTGACCCCGAGCCCGGACATTTCAGTAACAGTTCGGGTTCGAGATCTGTGTTCGGCGATTTAATGGCGCGTTTTGAAAAGCTGCAGGGCAGCCAATCAACAAGCGTTTGACTCGTGTGCCCTAAGAAGCCATCACAGCCATGCCTACTAATGGCATAGCTGTGATTGGCCTGTGCAGCATGTGACCCAGCCTCGATATAAGCTGGAGTCACATGAGCTCTTATTAGTGTATGGAGAGGATGCTGCAGCTGTGAGGGACAGATTAGGAAAGAATTCTGGTGTTGAATCTGCAAACTACAGCGATTATTTTTGTGGGTGCTATACTACATTTTTGTACCCTGCTCTGAGCCCAGTGCCACAGAGAAATAAGCAATCAGTCTGTTTGTTAGGTGGGCACTTGCAACTGCATGTGTGTCTGGCACATTACTTTAATCCTGTTCTGATAGCTCAGTGGGCAACATCTAGGCATTTTTAAATACCGCTGTGACATTGCAGTTTGACAAATTCAAATTTATTTGGTGCTATAAAGTAAATTTGGGGCATGCACTTCATATCTGAGAGTCAAATAGAACCGTCAAATACTGTGGTTACATCGCACTTTGAAAAATTCAAATTTATTGGGTGCTAAATAGTACGTTTGTGGCCTGCGGTGCACTTCATATCTGAGAGTCAAATAGAACCGTCAAATACTGTGGTTACATCGCACTTTGAAAAATTCCAATTTTTTGGGTGCTAAGTAGTGATGTCCCGAACGGTTCGCCACAGATGGCGAACATATGCGCTGTTCGGTCCGCCCCCTATTCGTCATCATTGAGTAAACTTTGACCCTGTACCTCACAGTCAGCAGACACATTCCAGCCAATCAGCAGCAGACCCTCCTTCCCAGACCCTCCCACCTCCTGGACAGCTCACTAAGAATGCAGCTTCACAATGAATGTTAAATGGATGCTGTCCAGGAGGTGGGAAGGTCTGGGAGGGAGGGTCTGCTGCTGATTGGCTGGAATGTGTCTGCTGACTGTGAGATACAGGGTCAAAGTTTACTCAATGATGACATAGGGGGCGGACCGAACAGCGCATATGTTCGCCGTCCGTGGCAAACCGTTCGGCGAACCGTTCGGGACATCACTGGTGCTAAATAGTACATTTGCGGCCTGCGGTGCACTGCATATCTGAGAGTCAAATAGAACCGTCAAATACTGTGGTTACATCGCACTTTGAAAAATTCAAATTTTTTGGGTGCTAAAAAGTACATTTGTGGTGTGCACTTCATATCTGAGAGTCAAATAGAACCGTCAAATACTATGGTTACATCGCACTTTGGAAAAATTCAAATTTTTGGGGTGCTAAATAGTACATTTGTGGCCTGCGGTGCACTTCATATCTGAGAGTCAAATAGAACCGTTAAATACTGTGGTTGCATCGCACTTTGAAAAATTCTAATTTTTTGGGTGCTAAATAATACATTTGCGGCCTGCGGTGCACTTCATATCTGAGAGTCAAATAGATCCGTCAAATACTGTGGTTACATCGCACTTTGAAAAATTCACATTTCTTTAGTGCTAAAAAGTAAATTTGGGGTGTGCACGTCATATCTGAGAGTCAAATAGAACCGTCAAATACTGTGGTTACATCGCACTTTGAAAAATTCTCATTTTTTTGGTGCTAAAAAATACATTTGTGGCGTGCACTTTATATCTTAGAGTCAAATAGAACCGTCAAATACTGTGGTTACATCGCACTTTGAAAAATTCACATTTCTTTGGTGCTAAAAAGTAAATTTGGGGTGTGCACTTCATATCTGAGAGTCAAATAGAACCGTCAAATACTGTGGTTACATCGAACTTTGGAAAAATTCTAATTTGTTTGGTGCTAAAAAGTACATTTGTGGCGTGCACTTCATATCTGAGAGTCAAATAGAACCGTCAAATACCGTGGTTACATTGCACTTTGAAAAATTCTAATTTTTTGGGTGCTAAATAGTACATTTGCGGCCTGTGGTGCACTTCATATCTGAGAGTCAAATAGAACCGTCAAATACTGTGGTTACATCGCACTTTAAAAAATTCTAATTTAAACCATCTGTTAGTTTGGTGGGTGAACGCAAAGAATGAGGAGAGCATCAAATAAGGGACGTGGCCCTGGTCGTGGAGCTGCTGGTGTTGGTGGAGCTCCTGTTGCAGGGAGAGGACGTGGTTTGCACGCTGTGCAATCAGAGCCTGAAGCGAGGCGTTCTAAACATGAGAACAACCTGCATGACGAGGCATCTACATGCAAAGCACGAGTTGCAGTGGAGTAAGCACCTCAAAAACCAAGAAAGACAGTGGCACCTGACACCCCGCAAACAGAGGATGTGGCAGCAATGCCACCACGTCCGCCACCGTCCCCAAGCATCTCCACACTGTCCCATGGAAGCATTCAGGTATCCATCTCCCAAACACTAGAGAGAAAGAGCCATCCCTTCCCTGCACAACCAACTGGCGGACAAAATCAGGTGTGCACTGCTCAACGCTATCTGTGGCAAGGTCCACATAACCACTGATACGTGGACCAGTAAGCATGGGCAGGGACACTATATCTCCCTAACTGCACACTGTTCAAATATAGTGGCGGCTGGGCCCGAGGCGGATAGCAGTTTGGCACATGTCCTTCCGCCACAGAGGATTGCCTCCTCCTCCTACTCTGCTTCCTCCTCCGCTTCCTCCTCCTCTACCACCTCCTCATCCGGTTAGCGTAACACCTTCACCACCAACTTCAGCACAGCCAGGGGGAAACGACAGCAGGCTGTTTAAAAACTCATATGTTTGGGAGGAAAACCCCACACCGCGCAGGAGCTGTGGACGGGCATGGAACAACAGACCAATGAGTGGTTGTTGCCACTGAGCCTCAAGCCCGAAATGGGCGAAATCTCGTAGCAGCTGTGGGCCTAGCCAGTTTGAGGCACATCCCTTGCCTGGCGCATGTGCTGAATTTGGTGGTGCAGAAATTCCTGAAAAACTACCCAGATATATCAGAGCTGCTGCAGAAAGCGCGGGCCGTCTGTGCGCGCTTTCGGTGTTCTCACCCTGCTGCTGCTTGCCTGTCTGCGTTGCAGCGTAACTTTGGCCTTCCCGCTCACCGCCTCATATGCGACGTGCCCACAAGGTGGAACTCCATCTTGCACATGCTGGAGAGACTGTGCGAGCAGCAGCAGGCGATAGTGGAGTTTCAGCTGCAGCACGTACGGGTCAGTCGCTCTGCACCAGACTTGCCCTCCAATACATCCTCGTTAAAGGATTTAAAGTGTACTCATTCCAATTACAGGACCTTGAAAGAGTCCTGTGTTGTTATTTTTCGTCACTACCTCCCGGCGTCGGGAGTGGGTAATTTGCGCGCCTGATACCTTCCTTGGATGTGGTAGCCGTTTCTCAGGCTCCCTCTCCGGAATCGAACCCTAATTCCCCGTTACCCATGGTTACCATGGTAGGCGCAGAAAGTACCATCGAAAGTTGATAGGGCAGACATCTAAATACGTTGTCGCCGTCACGGGGACATGCGATTGGCCCAAGGTTATCTAGAGTCACCAAAGTGCTTGCGCAACGACTGCCGAGTTGCCCACATTCTAACTTGTGCTGATTACTGGGTGGCCACCCTGATGGATCCCTGTTAAAAGGACAACGTGCTGTCCTTAATTCCCTCACTGGAGCGTGATCGGAAGATGCGCGACTACAAGCGCACGCTGGTAGACGCACTGCTGAGGGCATTACCAACTAACACTGGGGGCTCAGTGGAAGCACAAGGCAAAGGCAGAGGAGGAGGAAGAGGTCACCAACACAGCTGGGGCACCTCCAGCACCTCAGAAGGCAGGGTTAGCATGGCCGAAATGTGGAAAAGCTTTGTCAGCACGCCACAACAATCAGCACCACCAGCTGATATGGAACATCTTAGGCAGCATTTCAGCAACATGGTGGAACAGTACGTGTGCACATGCCTATACATACTGACTGATGGGTCTGCCCCATTCAACTTCTGGGTCTCCAAATTGGGCACATGGCCTGAGCTTGTCCTTTATGCCTTGGAGGTGCTGGCCTGCCCTGCAGCCAGTGTATTGTCTGAATGTGTGTTTAGCACGGCAGGGGGCATTATCACAGACAAGCGCAGCTCACGTTTATTAAAATGAAGCAGGCATGGATCCCACCAGACTTGTCTATACCTTGTGCAGAATAGACACCCAGCCATTGTTATACTCAAGTGCACTTATTCTTTGTTTTCTTTTTTTATATGTCCCAATATTTTGGGGGGTACCCCAATTGTTTGCAGGGCACTTGTCCTACTCTTACTCCCATTTTACTTCCTTGTGCAGCCCTCTAGCCCTTTCCAGGATTTTTTTAGAGCCATTTTAGTGCCCGGAAAGTTTGGGTCCCCGTTGACTTCAATGGGGTTCGGGTTCGGGGTCAAGTTCGAGTACAAACTCGAACTTTTTGCCGAAGTTTGCCGAAGTTTGGACGAACCCGGAGAACCTGAACATCCAGGTGTCCGCTCATCTCTAAACAAGAACAATGTATCTTATTTACACAGTCTGAGTTCAAAATACATTTACTGTATTTGAGCTCTGTTATACACTCAGACACACCAACAATAAGGAGCTCAAAGAAAACAGGGATATTAGGATTTGTGCCCAAAATATGGACAGTCCCTCCTAAATAGGGACACTTGGAAAGTATGGAATTGTGGTTTACAATGTTTACAGAATCCCCTCAATGTAATTATTTCCCAGAATACACGTTTCACCATCATGCAAGAGAGGGGGGGGGGGGGGGGGGGAGTAAAGTAACACACAATATTATCATGTTAGCTGGAGACAGGGCCCATGCAAGTCATCTAGATTGTGCAAAGTTTTAATAGCACCACGTGCAAGCTTACAATCTATATATAAGAATGGGAAGGGTGTAACATATGGTACAGATTTGAGAAAGTTGATTACTATTATCAGTAGACCTATTCTTTGGAAGCAGCGATTAGAACCTCTCTCCTTGCTTTCAGGGTCTTATTATTTATACTATTCTCTAGAGAAGAAATTTGCAGTGTTTTTCTAATGGTAGAGTAGCTGCAGTGAGGGTGTTTTTTGTTTTTTTTTGCCAAGTAACCACACACTATCTGCTCCTGTGAGACCGTCAGTGTTACTGGACTCGCGTGGCCACAATCATGACATATCACAGTACAACTCCAGCGTAATCAGAAGGTCTCCATACACAGTGTGAGCATGCGCTGTGTGCTCACACTATATAATACTTGGGCAGCTGAGTCGCAATAAGCCACAGTGAGTTCTTGCTGTTGTGAGTATCCCTATATGGTGTTCTGGGCAGGCAGTTTTAGTGACTTGCAAAAAAATTTATATTTTGTGCATATATTAAACTCATAATATCGATAAAAAAAAACATATAAAAGTTACACGGTTATATTACGGTTAAGATAAACCCCATATATTGCACAATTAGTTGTGAATATTTGCATGCTAGTTCATTTCTGTTTTAACACAAGTGCACATCTGTGTCTTTCTCTGTATATGGCTGAATCAGCTCCAGACACTGACTCACAACCACATGGGCAACAAAAATAGATTTAACCCCGCACAGTACTTTAAAACTGTAAAACTTGAAACTGTGTCAGGACGTTTGTTGCATAGAAGGGTGGTAGATTCATGGAACTGCTATCCAGCACAGATGGGAGCCATATCAAACCCACAATTTAAAGGAACCTTCTCATCAAATTAACTTAGGTTTGATGACAATTTGAGGAATATTGGAACCATTTTGGTGGGTCAAGTTAGTCCAGGTCTTCGTGTAATTCTTAAGCCAGGAGTTCTCATTCTTTCACAGTGAAATGCTTAATTGGATGGAGAACACAGGTTTTGGAAGATTCTTGGGAGATTTTGTCTCATGGGACGGGAATGACAAAATTACTGCTGTTGAAACATATGATACAGAAATTATTTTCTCAAATTAAATATGTAAGGTTTACTATTAACTTCGGTTATGCATTGTTAAAGGGACCCTATAGGCACTCAGGGCCAAACTGGCCCACCAGGATACCGGGAAATTTCCCGGTGGGCCGTTGGCACCTGGGGCCGGGCAGGCAGCTGGCTGATCTGTGGCCGAAGAGGGAGCTCCTTTGGCGGCCGCAGGGGGAGCTGGCTGTTCTGTCTCTGCTCCCCCTCCCCAGCGCACTGCTTAATGAGACCGGGCAAACAGGCCCCTCCAAAAGCCAGTGATGAGGTCATTTTCGCCACATATCTCCCTCCCCAAGGGGAGACTAACCAAGTACCTGGCCTCCAGTCGGTCGGTGCCTGAGTTAGTCGAGTAGCCAACCCATAAGCAAATACTGGTACTCTTGGATTCTCGGTTGTTCTCCGGCTGGTAGTTGATGTTACTTGGTGGGCAGAGACCAGCTGTGCCCTACCCTGCTGCCAGCGTTACAGCTGGGTAAGTGAGAGGGGTGCCAGTTCTAGGATTAAGGACAAGGGGAGGGCAGAGGCTAACTGCGCTTTGCCCTGGGGCCAGCGCTTCTGCTGGGGGGACTAGTACATAGTCCTGCCCTGTAACAAGGGGGCAGGTAGGGCAGAGGCCAGCGACGCTCTGCCCTGACACCAGCTCTTCTGCTGGGGTGGGGTCATCGACTACTACCCCAGGACTTGGTTGAGGATCTGCTGTAGAGAGGAGGGATTGCCTACCTCCTCCTCATGGCATTCCTGCATGGTTGGTTGGGGATCTGGATCAGCCATCCAGCATCAGTGTAGGTCTGGTGCAGAGACCACGGTACCATCTTTACCATTGGGGTCAGGGTTGCTGTCCCCCTGTGGTTGGGGAAAAGGATCAGTTGTCTCCCCTCCTGGTATCTCCGGCTGCTGTTGGAGAGGGAGACTAGTTGTCTCCTCTCCCTGAAACTCACTCTGCCGCTGGGGAGTGAGACCGGTTGTCTCCCGTCCCTGTAATGGAAACTGTCGCTGGGGAGGAAGGACGACACCTTCGGCTCCCTGTACTGGACACTGTTGCTGGGGAGTGAGACCAATTGTCTCCACTCCTGGTGGGATACACTGCCGCTGTGGAGAAAGACCAGTAGTCTCCTCTCCCTGCAAGGTAATTTGCCGCTGGGGAGGAAGGACGACACCTTCGGCTCCCTGTACTGCACACTGCCGCTGGAGAGAGAGACCGGTTGTTTACTCTCCCTGCAAGGTAAACTGCCACTGGGGAGAGAGACCGCTAGTCTACACTCCCTGTAGGATACGCTGCTACTGGGGAGAGAGACCGGTTGTCCCCTCTCCCTGTAATGTAAACTGCTGCTGGGGAGAGAGGCTGGCTGCCTCCTCTCCCTGCAATTTACACTGCCGCCAGGGAGAGAGACCGGTTGTCTCCTCTCCCTGCAAGGTAAACTGCTGCTGGGGGGGAAGGACAACACCTTTGGCCCCCTGGGATGCACACTGCTGCTGGGGAGGTAGACCACTTGTCTTCACTCCCTGTAGGATACACTGCCGCTGGGCTCTCTCCCAATGTGCCAACTCACCTGCCACCCATGCTTTGTGCTGCAGTTCCTTGGTCAGTAGGGTCCTCATGGACTGTACGTATTTCTCACCTGGGTTGGGTCAGAAGAGAGCCAGCCGCCTCTTCAGGAAACTCTACCTCAGTGTAGCGGAGCGCCATGCATGCTCGGTGTCTTCAGGATGCTGCTCCTCGCACTAGGACGCCATCCTACCACTGCCACCAAATGTTACGGAGCTTCCTGTATCCCGGTTGGGTACCTCCGCCGACGGATGCTCATAGTGCTTACCGAGGGCTCCAAGCACTTCTCTAGACACCATAAGCATTGTAGACCCCACGAATCGCCGCAGCTTGGTCGGGGTCTCGCTGTCTCCTACCCACCCTGGACCTACGACAAGGCTCCAGGTTCCAGTGGGGGAACCTTTCTTCCTCCAGCAGGAACATCTCTTACAAGAGCTAAGAGAATCCAAGGGAGTAAATAATACTGTAACCTCCCACCACACCACTAGATCAAATATTATTGTTAGCATACATAAAAGTTGTTCACTTCATTTGAATTTGAGATTTCAACATCTTATAGGTCATTCATTTATTAAATTGCGATCTTAGAATTTCCATCTTACTAAAAGTTTCAGGGGATATTGTTTCTTTGTGTTTCTCTTCTAAACTGCATAATTATATTATGGTATCTACCATCTATTTCTATCTATCTATCTTTCTTTTTTCTTATTTTTTTTTTAAAAAAGGTTCCTAAATAAACCTCCTTATGAGCCTCCCATAGCGTTACCCTTTTAATGGCTGGGTTATTTTTAAAAGATAGTTGTTTCATTTCCAATTAAAATGTTTGTGTGAATTAGTCTCCAAATTAAGACTTGCCAAAACAGAAGCATGATGGTTCCATGTAATATTACCAAATGGGAATAATTAAGTGATTGAACTTTACGTGAAAAAAAAGGATATATATATATATATATATTGTTTAAGCTATCCTGTTCTATTATATACAGGATAATTTCTAAATCGATAGGTTTTAAGAATTTCTCAAGGTTTCTACCAAGATATAAGTAAATGATAGTAAATTGGCTTGGATTTTAAAGTGTCACTGTCACGCCGCACTCTT